CAAATGGCGGACTTAATGCCATAGAGGCATTTTCTCGCAGTCAACCAGTCATAGGAAAATATAAGTAACTAGATAGTTATACTTACCTCTCTAAAACAACTGGTAGCTTAAAAACCGATATTTCACCATTTACTGTTAAATTTAAATAAACGTCTTTTTTTTCGATTTATTGCGTTAAAAGTTGAGACGCATATCTAAAGCTGCCGACGCGACGGCACTTGCACTCGTACCGGTTCGAAACGGTCCAAGACATCGTATCCGTGAGTGATGTCTATGTGTGCGTTGCTCAAGCGCACTTTTAATGTAGATTTACTTCTGTTGTATAAGGTATTTTCTATGGTCTGATCTTGATTCTTAATAAAGATGTAATGATAATTTCATTAATAAAAAATATTTTTATTTCCGAAATATGGTGAGTTTTGGTAGATTTTATCTCATTAATAAGCATCTTATTTTTAGTCTGTCGTATAAAAAAGGTACTTTACTGTCGCCAGGTTAAAACCAAAATATTATAGAAAAAAACCTCTTTGCAATATTTCGTGAAATTTCTTGTAATGCTAATATTAATTATAATAATGAAATAAAACACTTTTTATTTTCTATGTTTTATTACTATTCTGTGTTCTTAAAAATCATTTACGTAACATATTTAGATACATCTAATTTCTGATAATTAATTACACAACCCTTTTGTTATCTACTTGTAATAGTTACATGACGACATTTTCATAAAATTATCGCTCACCAATTCTGAATACATCACTATGTTTATGAATTTAGCTGTTCAAGGTATTTAAAAAGAAATTCTTGATTTCCAGCGTGATCATTCGTTTTATTTACATAAATTACATAAAGGTTTATTTACAATGTTTTTTCAAATATTTACAATATTTTTATCATAAATCTTATAACTATAAATTTTATGTTTTTTTGATATCCATTTTAAATATCTTAACGTTACATAAACATCCGAATATTCTAAAGAAAGTAGTTAACATTTTACAATTGTCTTGTCTTTGACAAGTTTAACATATTTGTTTAGTCTTTGAAGCGAAGAATGTATCTCACGACGAAAAATAAGGATAGTTGTTAACTATATAGCAATAAAGACTATTAGGACTGTCCCTACGCTCACCCTTTTATCTTATTCGTTTACTTACGTACTCGTAAATTTGTTTTTGTGTCTCCACTCTGGTATAAGTAAAGAACAAGGTCGGACACGATATAAAAGCAAACTAACCGAGAGGAACGTTTAGTAATGATCCAACAGATTCTAACAAATGGACTGGAACAAAATTATGCCCAGATTCTCTTTTTTATGACGTAATTTTAGTCTGATACTCTTATAAGAAAAAAATGGATATTCCTTCTGCAAAAGAAGGTAAGGTTTATTTCATTTAATCTTACAAAGTGTTATTACACTGAGCGCCCATCCATTTCAGTGTTAGGGTGGAAACGTTATCTATGCCGAATAAAATATTTATCTTCTGATTTTCATGTTTTACTTATGCCTCATTCACACAGTCGTGATTCGGCATCAATGTGCGAAAACGTCATTAACTTATTTTATACTTTTTCCGTTTCACAATTGTCGATGTGCGCTTGAAAATGATAACGCGCATTTTTCAGTGAACCCACATATTTCAACGGAAAACACAAAAATAACGTTAGTTCAAAAAACGATGATTTATACGCCGGATTACGTTGTACAGACCGCTGAACAGGCCGACAGGGGCGGTGCGTTTTTTTCCCTTTTTCGTATACTATACTTCGACTTTGGTGCAAATGCATACAATAAAAGACATTTTCGTAAGCTTTCTCGTATTTAGTACAGTAGCATCTATGCATTTACATAAGTTTTTGCTTAGAATATACTTTAAATTATAGCATTCACACAGAGTAAAAGACCCAGTTTTGGCTATTGACCATTTGGCACTTGAAGACCATGGGCGAAAGTATTACTTCACCATGAATGGTTTTACTTCACCGTGAATCAAAGAATGCAACTTCTTTGATTATATACTTGTCTAGATAGAGTGTTGCGCTACAATTGTCAAAAATAAAATAAAATAACAGGTTTTAAATTCTCGTGCGCGTGAAGGTTCGCGTGAGTACTGTTGTTATAGGCACACGCTGCATCTTGTTAATAATAGCTCCCCAATTATTTCCCACAAAAGTAGGTAAAAAAATATTTTTAATGGATCAATAATTTATTTTAACTCATTATAATGTGTAAGTATATATTATTATTATTATGGTCAGTTGCACAAACGTCTATTAGTGTTTAATGACGCCTTCAAACTCTAATGAATGTCAAATTTATATGGGTAATTTCGCAATTTTAGGTTTGTTAATTTTAATGGACGTTCGTTTAACTGGTTGTATGTCTTAAAATTTGATACAATATTTGTGACGTTGTCTTATATTTATTTATTATTAAACTAAAATATTCTATAGGAAGTTTATGCTATTTACGACAATTATTCAAACAGTAGGTATTTGATTTGTTCGTGTAATTAATATATCTGTCAATTGTCATGTTTATTATGTCACTTAGATACTTTCATACATTAAAATATTGAATACTCCATACAAATAAGGAAATCTGAAAGAAGTAAGAAAAAATTAAAAGTACTTTACACCGGCTTTCTTTAAATAAACTTATCACACTTTTATTAATAATTTATTGTATACCATAAAATATAAAAAATACTTATAAATTAAAGCAAGAGTATAAAACATTTTAATCATTTTTATGTATAATTTGAATCGTGATTACACTTAATTTGAAATTCATTACACTCTTATGAGAGATTTTCATTCAAGAATTGTAATATTTAGTTTATAAGATAGAATATTATATTTTGTAATGTGATTGTAACATGTTTCGGCTAAAGGACAAGCATCCAAGCCAAGAAAAAACGATTAAAAAGAAGTGTCATATCATAGAGCAATTTTTTTTTGTAAATTGTTAATTCATCTAAATGGACATTTGAAGTTTGCCTACCGTTGGTATGTAATATTTTTTTGTTTTTCTCACAGTGTCTGTTTTGCCACTGAGCAAGCGTTTTGAACTTACGGGGGACAGTTACTCTGATACTATATCTAGACAAGTATATTCAAAGGTTGCATTTAAGTAAAACATTAGTTTTGCCTAAACAACCATTGACAGCTGTAAGGTGACACCTTAGTTTACTTCTTAAAATGGCTAAAACCGGGTCGAAATCTTAAAAACCGGCTATAAATATAAAGAGTCCCACTCTTCAAAAGAAAATTGGAAAATTGTATAAAAAAATTATTTATCAATTAAATCCATCTTATAAATAAACGTAAGTATTTTTTTTTTGTTTATTTAGAAACTTATCATTTTCTGATTCTGTTTCGACTGATCACGTGATCAAAAGCACTGCGAGCACCTTACCTCGAAATCTCCAGAGCTCACAGTACAAATATGGTGGTAATTTATGACGTCATAAATTTCCCTAGGGTACTGTAGCAGTGCACTGGCAGTCCATAACGGAACGGATTTTTCAGCAGTAAGACCACTGCACAGTTCTCGCAGTGTATATCGGAACATACCCTTTAACCATCACTTTGCTAAGACAATTGCGATTCCACGTCAAATAGTTATAGCTTAAACTTCGTGAATATCTTTTAAATGTCAAATTTAAAGTGATTGTGAATTATTTTAAAATCAGATAATTAGGGCATGTGCTCTATTTATTTAAGTCGAAGTGAGCCGAAGGAGCCTGACGAAATGAATTTCTTCAAATCAGTTTCTTCGTTATCGGTTCTCCTATGATTTAGCTAGCTTTGATTAGCGTTTCAGGTTGCAAAATTGACAAATTGCATATTATCTACCTATTAAAAAGGTAATAAGAGTGTAAACATAGCAACAGCGCTTTTGATTCTAGATTTTTTACAAAAAAAGAAAAATTCCTTTTGTTTTTGTAATAAGAGCATGATGAGTTACAATTTTTGAAGAACACTATTTTTATGTCAAATAATTGCAATTAAGAAAGTAAATTGGTAGAATCTATTAACAAACAACCAACGTTTATTTAGACGACTAGATCGAATACAAATAAAGTGGTAGAGAGAACTGAGTGATTAGACACGTTGTACACAGATAAGCTTATTGACTGGATACAATATTGTATATAGTTCGGGATCGGTATAATGAAATCGATTTTGTCCTAATCTCAGCGTAGGATTAAAGACGACGAGCGTAGTTAGTTAGAAAAACAAAAGGAAATACTAGTCACGATTAATGTTCCAGCATCTCCTTGTAAAGAAAATGCGCCTGAATTAATCCTCTTTGATATTTATATAACAAATATTTGTTGCCAATTTGTTTATATCCTTAATAACAAGTATTAAGATAAAAGGATAAAAAAAGTTTTGTAGAGTGACCGTAGATCTACCTGCCAAAAGAACCAACTGCGTCGAATGCAGTTTCTTTAGATCTCGCCTCTTTATACACACCGAAAGTGTATTTTTTATAAGTATAGAATTCTTGTTATTTTTTATTATACAGGTGATACCCAAGTTAGACGGTTGAGTATGTAGTCACGCTTTTTGCATGGTCCGCATCGTATCTGATGACGTCATTAATATCTACTTACTTGTCTGGGATTAGGGTACCTATAAAATTCTTTCGGCGATTTATCCAATCCTTCGCGAAAAAGCGTGCGAGGTTTATTATGTTTTCATAAACTAATTCTAACATTAAACTCTTATGGCTCCTTCGCATTCAATGTGGACAGACTGATATACGATCACCTTTAAACAAAATACAAGTGACATCATTATAAAAATTATAGAAATCAAACTTACATAACTCTTTTAAATCTATTCATCGTTGTATTAAACACGTCAATTAGTACAACTCAACATATTTTCCTAAAATTATTGTATAAATTCAAATTGTATTTCTTTCTTAAAATTTATACTTTACACATGTGTACATAAAAATCGATGTGAAATTCCATTTAAGTTGGTCATCTTGAAAATATTTTCTGTGAAACAATGACGATTGTGTGAGCAAGTACAGTGATAAGAACGATGGTGATAACTGAGAGGTACTGAGCGAGGAGTGTGATAGGGACTAGGAGCCACGGTTTCGGCTGGTTGATCGCAGATACTGTTGCTACGGAGGCGAGGATGACGCGGTCCATACGAGGTGGTGTTGATCCTGAACTCTGCATCGCAGCTGGTCGTTCTCCACTCAGCACGTGCACTATCACTGACGCTGACTCTGCGTATATAAATATAAATCATATTACAACCCAATAAAGTTGAACATTAATAAAGTTAAAATATGAAATGTTCTCTTAATTCCAATGCATAGTTAACTGCCTATCGGATTGCTAAAAAAGATGCTTCCGTCGACTATCTGTCTATGTTGTATAGATATAATGGTTCAAAGTAGAATACAATTTATCATTTTAAGGTACTGTTTTTTCTGATAACGCAAGTAATTAAATAACAACATCAATATTTAAGTATTGTTACAATATCCGTTCGCTATTCAAAGCTTATATTTTAAGATGTTAGTTGAGTTCTAGTAATTTCAAAATTAAAAATTAGACCTTAGTTACTTGCATGTCGTTGTTTGATGTTATTATTAAATAGAAATAAAATATTGCAAATTTCTAGAGAAGAACCGTCAAGAAACTCAACAGTTATTTAAAAACAGTTATTTTTCTTTCCCTGCTTTATTTGAAATGAGCCACATTGAAAATGACTACAAAAGAACCGTATAAAAATACAAGTTTTGAAAATGTTACTTTTATTAATCATTACTTTGAGTAAACTTTTTATTTATTGCTATTTACGATAGTGATGAAATTAATGGATCTCTCGGTAATTCGTCCACCGTTAATAACATGATGCATAGACCGATCTATTTCTGTTAAAAGATACCTATTTATATCTGAATTAATGTGATCGTTACAGATGCATTATCTTTTAATTTACGCAAATATAAGTTTTGTGTTTATCGAATTTGTGAAACAAAACATAGTTTGCTCACATTATCCTCTGTAACTGTTATTGTTGCATCGCGTTGTTTGGGAATTATTTCATACAATTGATAGTCGCATATTGTTACATTAATCTGTTTCTGGACATAAATTGACGATTATGTTATGATTTACACGCTTCTATGTTGTTTAAATAATTACCAGAGAATTTAATTGCTGCTGTTGATATTCATAAAAGCAAATTAGTGTATTATGTACATTTAAAGTTTAGAATAGAAATATGCTTATCCATCAGACTTAAAAAAACTAGAGTATAATTTCTGGAAATGCTTAGCTATGTTCAATAAAGTACCACAAAATGTAATTGACCTATACGTAAATAAATTTAAAATTTATGTACAGAATATAGTTATGAGTAAAGTTGATGATTGTTTTAAGGATCGCAATGCATGGAATTAATAGCCTTCGCTTTGTTCTATACGAATATAGCTAATTTAGTTATTCTGTGAATGCCACAATACGTCGTGAGCGTTTCCGTGACAGCCATAGCGCTAATTTCGCTATGTGGATATTTTACTGTGACCACAACCTATTGTGAACTATTTTCTCGCTACATGAGCGATTTCGATCTTTGAGCGTAACATATACGCTCAAATAAACCTTTGTCAAACAATACACAACAATATAAGTCTTTTTTTGGGTAGTCGTGTAAAATTAAATCCTCACCGGAGCTGCTCGGCGCGCAGGTGTAGTTGCCAGAGTCGTGGGGGGCAGCTCTTGCTATCAGCAACCTGCTGGTTCTTGTTCGTTGTTCTGTCTCGACACTGATACCACCGCGCTGAGCATAGTTCACGACTTGCTCGCCCCGATACCAATAGATGAAACTGAATTGAAAAAGTAAAAATATATAAGATTTTTTTCTGTGTAGTAATCTGCAATCAGCATTGTGTGCTTTAAGGAGGTATTTTGAGTGTATATAAGAATATAGGAATAAATTGTGTTTAGTGCATAATTTTAATATTATGGTCTTTGCTGTAAAAAAAAATTACGTTATTTCTTTTTTTTTTGACTTACTAATATTAACGAGATGAAAAAGTATTTTATTTCGATGTTTGTCGACCATACCTTGCGCTCAAGGAATATAATACTACTTTCATTAGGTTGTACACTTTAAGTAGATAATTCACGTCTTTACAAAATATGTATTGAAATTTTGTTATTTAATGTTTCGCAATTGGATTCGTTAACTTAAGTTTTAAAAGGATTAGTGATTTGAAAAGAAAATTTAATAGCCGGCCTCTTAGATTTCGTTTTCAATTCATATAGAAAAGTCAAAGGAAAAATTATTTTATCATGAATGTTAAAGAGAAAGAGTAATCCGAACTACTGCTCTAACTGAATAAATAATAAATAATCGGGACTGCAAATGATTATGGGTTCGAACTTTTTGAATATTTTTCTTTAAAATAAATATCAATATAGCATTGTAAATGGGAAATGGTACTCGTGTACTATTGTGTTTTGTATTGTTCAAGACGCAAAAGGGTGACTCTACCCCTTAAATTGATTGGCATTCCTAAGCGTTCCCGCTCATACGTACATATTAATGACAGCGATACATATCGTTTCCGTGTAGAATTATGTTTTTTTTTTTGTACGGGTCGCTGTAGTTCGCTCACTTCACCCCGTAAATCAGTTCTTTATGACTCAAGAACAAAATGTTTCGTCGAAAGTAGAAAATAATTGAAAATTTATTTGTTACTTAAAATTATACATTTTATCTCTCCGCGTTATGTCCGTCCATCTCACGATATGGTTAATCTTTTAAGCACTTTCAATACGATAAGTCACAGAACACTGAGAAGAGGTTTCTGTGTTCTGTGCGATAAGCTATAATAAGCACAATAACAGAACAAATTAATTTTATATAAAAAAAAATAACAAAGCACTTAACAATAAACGTTTTAAAAGAACAATTTAAAATAGATATTTCTATTTTTGGCTTATCCATTTTATGTATACCGTCAATAAAATATACCATTAAAATCTAATATTTCTTCATATCGATTGTTAGATAGATCCTTTTTTGCACTGCGGTAAAATTGTATGTTTAATTTAAAAAGGTTCATTGAAGTCGGTAAATAAAGTATTGTATATCACAAAACACATAGTATATAGTTTCTAGTATTTTGTAAATGCGTTACAAAATAATAGAGATGAAAACGGAATTTTATTGTACTTTTGAAGTCAGCTAAGAACGTACGGCTATATTTTTCATATATTTTTAACAATGAAATCCCTTGATCTCTTAACAATGCGCCATTTTCAATATGAGGTTATAAAACACCTATAAAAATAGCACTATCAAAATTGAATTTCAATAGAAAATATCACACCTAATAAAATCACATTATTTTATAACTTCTATACCTTTCGTACGCCGTAAATATAATTTATTGAGGGGACCTCAATAAAAAAATGTCAACTCTACATAACACAGGCATATCAGCCTATCAATATTCAAATTGAAGGTCCCTCGCCGAAAGATCTCAGACACAGGGCCCCATTAAATGGTGATAGTCAAAGAATGCCTCACTTAGGGACTCACCCGACCCTTTTATCTAGAAATGAGCTTATCATGTTTATGGATGCGAAGACTAAATGTACGGGCGCGGCGGGTATGAAAAGGTACATGATAACACACTTTCATTATAAAGTACTAACTGAAAGACGGTTCGCCTATTCAGTGTATGGCGTATATATCGCTTGCATCGCAGCCTACCCGATGTCAAATATTGACGTTTATATTGCATGCTAGATTAAATGAACGTCATGATTATCGACAAAAGAATTAAAGAGTTTGATGGCATATTGATGAGAGCTATTACTTTGCATTGCGGGCGCTTTGGTCCTGGCTGTATATGTAGTCGTTGGTACCCTTTTTTTAATGCAGGTGAAATACAACCTCAGGCCCAGCTTAGCGAGTTCTTCTTTATTTTAAAGGCACCATGACCAAAGGAATATTAAAGCTCCATATCAAACCATCAGGCCTATTTCACCCTATGTGGTATGTCGATGCTAACTACGGAAACAATCTTGTGGATCGACATTTATAAATCGGTTTTGTATTCACAAGAATATTTTAGGACATACGGTCACTGAATAGTACAGTGGCACAACTCAAAAACTATAATTTCGAGAAACGCTCTCCGAAGTTATGAAAATTTAATATATTTATAATTATGAAAATCAAAATTTTTTAGCATAACAGTTAAATCGTTTGTGTTATATTTATTACTGTAAAGTTTTTATTTTTTCTTTAAATTGTCTATGGGATGCCACCACAATGTTGGGGCGTTTTCTCGAAATAATGGTTTTTGAGTTGTGCCACTGTACTATTCAGTGAGCGATATGTCCAACTTCAACATATCCTTTTTCTTACTAAAAATGTGTGTACAATATTTTAAAGTATTCCCGTACTAACTATGACCTCACAAACTGCCAGCGGAATTGATTTTATCACTGTTAATAATTTTCAAGTCGACTTAAGCAAAAATATTGTTTCATTTTGCTTCGAATTTACAGGAAAAGTTTTTAATATTAGTTAAAAGTTTCTGATCATTATTACCGAGAAATTGCTACAGTACAAATTAGATGTCAGATAAAGTTTAATATCACGTGGGAATCGAATATAATGGACCGAGAGAGAAATTCTTTTCAATACTTTTAACGAAGAAAGTGTGCAAATCTTTTGGAGTAGAAAAATAATCGAATCGTGTACTGTTTTGTTATTCTGTTAAAGATTTATTGTCGATCGCAGATGTCATTATTGCGATGATAATTTCTGTCATCGTGCTCTTATCATTTATTTGGAAGTCACTTAATTGTCACGTGTTAAAGTGCGAGCGCGAGCGTTTTCACACTTTTATCTATAGACAAGAGAAATAAAAATTTGAGAATATGTCATAACTTAAGCAGATATTTTTACCAAGTAAACAAGAATTTGAATGAAGTAAGAACTGTTAATAGAATACTTTTATAATTAGCTATTAACAGTTGTAACCTCATTCAAATTCTCGTCTATTGGTTAAAAATATATATATGTTCGATTATTATGTCAGAGTATCAGGGGCTAAGCGGATTCTTAACCATTTTTAGAATATCGCGATGTTTTTTGAAAGATATTGAATTAACGATAACGTTCATTTTTATATTATTTTTAAATTACCACAATAATATGTTTAAAGAAGAAAGAAAAGTAGGTCTATACATAAAAAGCGATGTATTTAGTTAGGTATTGCTTCAAAATTTTGTTGGCAGTGCCCCGTCTAGATAGATCTCTAACTGCATAAAATTAGTAAGGACTAGTCATACGATAGGGACGCTGCGCCTATTTCATAAGATAGACTTTAGACACCTTAACACAAAGTAAATGCTCTTCAGTGAGTGACCGACCAAGTACTGATACAAATACTTACTTACTTCACGATACTATAGGTATACTACTCGGTTAAAAAAGAACTTGGTATCGAAAGAAAATTAAGTACGTGTATTTACTCGTATCGATTCATCCCTAAACGAGCTGACAAAAATACGCACTTGGTGCGTTTTGTTAGTAAGATGCAATGGTTTTGTTCACAGAACACGGAAAAGAGGTTAGAAAGGCGATCAAGCATCCTTTGTACGAAAACCGATGTCGCCAGTCTTACCCCACTTTTCGTCCGCCATACATCAGACGAAATACTAGACCAATTATACAAAAGATATGCACACACTTGCATTTTAAACTTGCCAATCAGAACGCTCCAATATAACTATAACCAATCACGCTCAACCATAACAGACATCTGGAGTGCGCAATAAACGTGTAAAAGCCATTTTAATTTGACATATCACACCAGTGATTGACATAAAATTATTTAGTATCGATATTGAAAAACAACTAGTCAGTTCATTGAAAGGATACTAGAGTAATGATTTCTTTATATTATTTTGGATATATATTGAATTGTATTGATTAAACGTGACATTATCTTTTTTCTTTAGATATTAATTGTTATTTAGTTGGTTGATTCAGTAAGAAATATTTAAATTACTAATGAACTAACATTGATTCGGTACTAGTCGAACTTAAATATTTATTTGCATATAAATGTTTTATAAATAATAATAGTAGGTAATTTAATTACGTTACGTTACTCGATTTTGTATCAAGTAAACAGATAAGATCGGCAACATCGCTTAAATGTAACTAATAATATTGACAAACAAATTATATTGTTTGTCAATATTACAAGTTTCATTAAATAAATATATACAAAATAAAAAAATACTTTTCGTACAATAAATGCTATTGGAACTTATCCTGAAAGGATTCCGATGATTTAAAAAGTATCGTTGTTAATGTTTCAAAATATTTAAAAAAATAATAATTTTCTGTTACTATATTAAGAATATAAAAACAGACTTATTACCGCACTCATTATTAAATTAATATACAAACGTATACCAAACGAAGTCAATATGGTAGTCAAGAATAGGGTTACATTACTATTTTTATCGTCCTTAGTTTTATTTCGATTTTACTAACACACCAAGCAACGATTAAATGTTTCCAGGCACTTCACTAGCCATCTACCGTAATCTATTATGTTGCTATTAAAAACGGTGATTTCGCGATGTTCTTTACATTACGTGCTTAGTACGACGCAATGTAATAAATATGCGCACTTCTCCAGTAACGTATATTTACTTGGAAATATTTTTTGTGATTCACACTTTTGATTTCACGAATTTCGACTAAATATACCAAATTTGAGAAGTGAAATGATTTTAATTTTAAAATAAGAAATAATAAAATCGTTTTTCCTCCGTAAACACGTTCTATTAAACCGTACGAAATTTCGGTATAAATAACAAATTTTTCGTGTAGGTATTTGTAAAGAAAACAAGACTGAATAGAGTTTTATCCTATTCATCCTCAAAGGAGTGCTATGGTAAATAAATGAAGGTATCGGTCCTCTTTATCCACACGTTTCGCAGGCAACCTGCCTATTTGATTGCATAATATTCTCACCTGGGCGGGTCGGGGGCGTACTTGGCGACGCAAGTGAGATTGATGTCCGATCCGGCTCTCACAAACAATTCCGGTCCGGATAGTATTTCGGCCTTTGACACTGCGAACAATATAAACCATTACCGTGTGAACACTATGAATAGAACTTTTTGAAATAAACATATACTGACTAGTTAGGCATTTGAAAAATCGTATCTTAAGATTTTATGCAAGCCAAAATATGATATGATAATCCAATAACGTGTATTCACATATATTGCTCTGATTTGCCATTCTGTTACAAATACAGCGCTGTCGCAGTATTAATGGTACAATAAAATAAAACCTTCTTCAAATATAAAAGTGTTTTGATAGAACTAAAAATACTGTGACAACCCTGTGTTTCAGGCTACGTTTGACTTTGGATTTTTAATAGCTAGCACTGGCGATCCCAAGTCAAGTAGCTAAAGCACTTGACTACACCAAGAACCGAGATAATATAAAAAGGGTTGCCTTATATAAAAATCTAGTGTTATTTTGTTTTTTACATGGCTAAATGAGAAAAGAAAGAGGTGTTCGAGACCTGTCGTGGGATGAGTTACCAGTTTAAGATAAAAGTAAGAAAAATTGCAAATTGTATAATATTGAATTATATGTTTTTTATTATATAATAATAATACATTTGCGAGCGTGGTAATTAATATAAGAAATATGTAGGCATATAAATGTCACAGATGAGTAACTAAAAAGAAATAAAGTAATTATGTAATCAGTACTTAGCGTAAATAAAAAGTGTTAATATAACAAAATGACGCATGGCATGCCGCAGTCGCCTTAGGGGAAATAAATAACGATTGCACGCGTTTAATTAACGGATCACGTTCTGGTTTAATAGTTGTACACGATTCTATCAGCTTATGAATAAGGGTGTAAAGTCGAATATGCATACTAAGTAGATACTAGAATGATACATTGTTGATAGCTTCTATGAACTCTACGTTTTGATATCATAAAGATTATAAAATATTAGCCAAACGCTAGAGCTATACGCGACTGCAATTACGTTTATTAACAAATAAAATAGCTATAAAACTATTTATATCTACTTTATACTTAAGGCTGCTAAATGAACATATTAGACGAACAGTACTCGTACTTTAGTAACCGCGCATACTTGTATTGACAAGCGTTCGCAATCGTTATATTCAATTGTATGCTAAACCATGTTATATATTTGACTTCGTTCAATCATGATATAAACTTTACATGGTCAGCTGCAGTTATGTGGAGTCGATGTTGACTGCATACAGTCGTGAGTTCAACTTCATACCATTGCAGCCGACCGTATGAAGTCGAAATCACGACTGAGTGGAGTCGAATGTACAATGCATGCACGCATTTACATACATATCGACTACGTACGGTTGCTGCGACGCAGTTTGATAGCAGCTTCGCGTTTGCGCACATGTTATTTCACAGTGGAAAATGACCCATCATGTTGTATACGGTCATCAGCGGTGTATGGATAACAAAAGACGGTATGTCGCGCATAATGGTTTATTTACACGAAGCTAATAGCCGAAACAATCTAGTAAACCAGTCTAGTACTGGCCTCAAGCCAGTTTAATAAAATAGAACGATTTCAATTTTTTACTGGACTGGTTTACTGGATTGTCTGAGTTATGGACTTCGTGTAAATGGACCATAAGTTCACATATATTATAATACACGCGACGTGTCGTATGAGACGACGACACTATGCCATGTACAAGCGATAGTGTACCCAAACTCAAAAAAATATATTGCTTTCTGCTCTTATGAATTCATTCAATGAATAGCAGAATAATATATACAGAGATTGCAACTTCATTCAAACTACTCAACATCCGTTGAATGGGTGCCTCCCTCAATGAATTGATATGCGAGTGGTAATGCGAGTAAATGTAGTAATTGATATGCGCGTGGTTATGCGAGTAAATATAGTAAGTTGCTAGTTGGTTTTATTTTTACCCGACTACGGAGAAGCGAAAAAGGAGGGTTATGGTTAGCCGGTTACAAACTGGCCAAAATGTAAGAATGTACATCTGTTCTCTTATAACTTCAAAACTATTCATCATAACTGAACAAATGAGGTATCTTTAAAAGCTTCTTAATTGTCTGCGTACTATTGGCTATGTGACGTTACATTAAATTGGCAACAGCGCCATTTAGAGAGCATAAAGTATGAGATTAAAAAATATTTTATACAATAATTCCGTGTAGGGTATCAAATGAAAGGGCTTAATAAAAAAATTTGTTCAAAAACCAAAACCCGACTAAAACCGACGCAACAGTATGTTTTGTTATGAGTGGCATACGACTACGTTGTCCTTTGGTCATCGCTATTATATAGCTATCGATATAAATAAAATTTTATGCTTCACACTTTTTAGAGCGTGATATATTTGTAGTCGGGTAATAGTGTTTAAACTTAATTTTTTAGTTCTGCTTTCTATAATCATCATCGTACTTTAATTTATCAACAGAGGATCGTAATGTATTGCGCATCATAACATTTCTGATGAATTTCATTAATTACGACCAATTGAAAATAATTTGGGTATATTTCAGTTTATCGTGTTTAGATAGATAGGTTCGCCGAGATGGACTTTGTTTTATAATACTCGTATTATGGATTATTTAAAGTAAGATAAATAAATAAAAATATAAGACAACATTACATAGATGTCACGACCTACGTAGGTCTCGGGTTCGATTCCTGTTGTGGTACTTTCGTTGCCTCAATACTCCATAATACTTAGCTACAATATTCCATAATGCTATTAACTAGTCATAATGGAATCTTAACAATGTGATTTTGTCTAATATTTATTACCTGACTACAAAGGAAGGGTTATGTGTTACGCGCGTATCTTGTAAGTAAGTTTGTATGTAATATTATTTATTACCTCATATCTTCAGAGCCGCTGAACGGTTTTATATAATTGAGTTGCCTTAGTAGCTCAAGTGTTCTTAGATAGGTAACGTTCCAAAAATCCAATATGGCGGTTGTGTGACGCCATTATATATTTTTTCAAATACTACAACATGGGTTACAAATTAAAGGATTCAATACAAGGATTTTAAAAAGATATATCATGAATGTCATTGCCTTAATACTAACAAAAATAATATGTTGATAAAGTTTAAAAATATGGACTTCGTTTTTTCACTTTCTGAACCAACCTGGTAATTTGTGTAACTAAAATTATAATTAAAAGCAAAACATAAAATTATTATTAAATAAATAATAACCCACCTGCGTGAAAAATAACTAAATGAAAAGGCTGGCATAAGGTAAAAAAATATGCAACACCATATATTACATGCAGTCGGAAGCATGGTACAAAGAGAGACTAATTTGACTTATCAATTTCATGCCTCCCACTGCATGTTATGTATAATGTTACAAATTTTTTTCTTCTTGTTCCAGCCATTCTTTCTTTATGCATTGGACAGATTGATACTTGAACTATGACAATCTTAAACAACGAAACTGTAAGAAGCACAACGATCAGACCCGAGACAAATAGAAAATAATAATTTCCTGTTAGGGGTGACAGGATTCAACTTTAGAAACATATCAAAATAAAGAAATAAAAACAATAACATACCATAACCATTTAGAACTGTAATGGAACGTTGTTTTCTTTTGATTTTTTCCTCTTCCTTAACCACTCCGGTCCGTTGCCTTACATGAACACGCGTTCTATTTGCTATGAACACTATTCCATTGCCGAGGATCAAATAAAACACTAATGTCATTTTTATTCAAAGCATCAATAGAAATAGTGCATTGCACAGTTACTTAGTTCCCAGGGTGTAAATATCTATCATTTCCATATAATTTATTCTCCAGCCAGAGCTACTTTTCGGAATAGCTATAGTTTTCGTGGCGGGTCCCCAGAGTTTAACATCGAACAATTTATGAGAACACACTCCCACTCCGGTCTTAGATAAACGACTGTTACAGTATAAGGATGTCGGGGTTCTATTTTCGAATCGCTCGTTTGAATTTTTTAAGTCATGTACGACATAGGGTCTTCCTGTACACCGGCCCTCATACCACGAATACGAAAATATACTCTGTAATAGCGAAAAAGTAAAAAGAGCGAAATAAACCATTCGTATAATTTTACGAGATGCCGCGTTTGTTTTAGATTTTCAAAAACGTAAATAATTTTCCTTGTCCGGGTAGTTAAAATATGGAGTTTCAAAGTAAGGGTCTGACCTATGCTTATTCCTATGTATTTCATAGATTCCGTTTTCTGAAGCGGAAGACAATGGCAATTTGTTTTATTGGGATGCACGAGTGAGTTGTAATGGATAGTACTGTGGAAGGTTATAGATTTTTTCTATGCCCGAAGGTGATATAGGTATTTGGTTTTGTTGACATTTAAGCTTTGAAAAACGTCTCCTCAATTGTCACCGCTACAGAAGAGAGTAGCAAAGGTAATAATATTACCATTATGTAATTGCACATTATATTAGCTGTTAATATATATAAAGAATAAGGTTGGACCATTCTTACTGCCCTGTGGCAACCCATAAGTGACAGATTGTTCATCACTTAGTTGGTAATCCATCTTAACGTGTTGTTTTCTGTCACTGAGGTAGACCTTAAACAATACTAGTGGGACACCACTCACTCCGATATTTTCTAGTTTTACGAGAAGATGGGGGATAGAGACGATCCCAAAAGCCTTGGCCAGGTCTAAAAAGATTTCCAGGCATTCCTTTTTAAGATCGAGATCAGTTATTATTACGTTTGTGAGTTTTGAAATCGCACCAGATGTTGATTTACCGGAACGAAAACCGAACTGAGAAAACCGAAATGGATGAGGAACTAGACTGTGTCATTAATGCCGAACGCTGAAAAGTATTAAAAGCTTATGAAAATCAGTAGTTCGACGTGAGACGAATGGTTCAAAATAGAACCCCTGTATTGCTTTAGAATAACCTTGTTTAATTTATTAAAGTTTAGATAATATTTTGCTTACAAGGATATTCTGTAGTGTGTCTGGTTTTAACAAATTTAATCTGTATAACATGTAGACGTTGTTCTAAGGCACTTTCTTTGAATTTTGAGTGACAAATTTTGTTCGAGACGTAAGCTGAGCATAATAAGAGGATAGACTGAACTTAACGAGGAACATCTTTAGCTTCAGAGAAGACGTAGTGATATTAAAACATTCATTAAGTATTAGTGAAGAAAATTGGTTAGATTGTTATTATTTTTTTATTTAAATTTGATCATCAAGTTGTTCTAGTGACGAGTGCGATAAAAGTGTTTTTTATGAGTGATTTTTCAATGACTGTCTAACATTTATTAGAGTCAGAGAGAACAGTGGTTTAAATGTACTTCTACATTAGAAAGAGAAAGAAATTACATCAGTATGTAGGGCTGGCATCTAGATCATTCGAAAGCGTTCGGTACACGATAAAGATTTTTCTAGCACAGAAATTTTTTACAGAATGAATAAATTGAACTTAGAACATTTTTATATATACAGTCTTATACAGACATTACAGATCGCCAAGAATTATGCTTACCAACAACTGTAAGTCGGAAGGATAAGCTGATCTTCGGCTCTGTTGATACTTGACATTCGTAGGCACCCGAATCTCTTGGTTGAGCAGGCGCCACCCTTAATGTCCATTCGTCAGAGCCGTCCGCGTGGAGAGCTGCAAACCTAGCGTCGCTGCTGTATGTGTGCACACCCACTGTTAGGATGTGCAGGTCTCGTTTGCGAATCCACGACACCTGAGGAAAAATAATGTTTTTTCTTACAAATTCGTATATGAAACTTTTACAACGCACCTTAGATATGAGTAAATGCTCTGATTACTTCTGGCACACATGCTTTGTCTTCAAACTATTATAAATACGCTTTTAAAGTTGCGATAAATTACATTTTTGGATACTCATTCGTCATTACCATCGAGTAATCTTATTTCTTTATATATATTTAATTTAGCTTGTTTTACATTTACTTATAGCCTGTTGGTTGTCAAGAAAATAATGCAAAAATAATTATGTGACTGAAATAGCACATACAACGTAATAAAAAAATACCCTGGTTGGCTGTATCATTGATACAGCCATATTTTATGCGTGGATACGTCTATGTATCAAAGTCAAAGTCAAAATAATCTTTATTCAAATAGACTTCTTAAAAGTACTTTTGAATCGTCCAACATTTTTTCCCTACCACTCGTTCAGGACGTCTTTTGGCTGATAAGAAGAACGAGCAAGAAACTCACCAGCTCTAATATGAGTAATGACATTTACAAAAACCATGTCATTACCAGACCAATACATTATAAACAGAGATAAAAAAAAAACTATGGTCTTATAATAATAACATAATCATTTAATAATAATGGAAACAAGATAATGAGTTTAGAAGTAATCACCTATCCAGTTGCTGGATCATCTCAAGTCCAAGCGTTCTTATCTGTTATATAATCGGATACCTTATAATAAGCTTTTTTAATAAGTATTTTTTTTAATAGTAGATTTAAACTGCATGATATCTAATTGTTGTATTTTGCTTGGGACCTTATTGTAGAAGCGCACACAAAGACCCTTGAAAGAGTTATTAACTTTTTGCAGTCTAGTGACAGGCACCGTTAATTTATTTTTATTTCTTGTATTAAAATTGTGTACATCACTTTTTATAGAAAACAAACTAATATTTTTACGAACGTACATTAAGTTCTCGTATATGTATTGAGAAGCAACAGTCATAATGTCTATTTCCTTAAATTTCTCCCTTAAAGAGTCCCTAATCCTAAGATTATAAATTGATCGAATTGCTCTTTTCTGAAGCACAAAAATTGTTTGTATGTCGGCAGCATTTCCCCACAATAGGATACCGTACGACATAACACTATGAAAGTAACTGAAGTATACTAATCTGGCAGTATCTATGTCAGTTAACCTACGTATCTTCATTACGGCATATGCTGCAGAGCTAAGTCTACTCGACAATCTATCAATATGTGGGCCCCACTGTAGTTTAGAATCTAATGTTATTCCTAAAAATACTGTGGTATCCACAAGGCCCATGTTCTTATCTTTTACATTAACATTTATATCTACTTTTTTAACATTAGGTAGTACAAATTTTAAGCATTTTGTTTTTCCTTCATTAAGGAGGAGATTATTTACATTAAACCAATGTACTACTTTAGCGATAGAATTGTTCACATCGTCATTTATAGGTAACCCTCTTTTAATTTTAAACAAGAGTGAAGTGTCATCCGCAAACAAAACTATTTCGTAATCATCCCTTACGAAATAAGGCAAGTCATTTATGTAAATCAAAAACAAGAAAGGACCAAGTATTGAGCCCTGCGGAACGCCCATCTTAATTTTCGATCCAGGGGATCTTTTGCCATTGATATCAACCCTCTGTACTCTGTCAGTCAAGTATGAGACAATAAAATCCAATGAGTTATCTCTAAATCCATAAAAATGCAGTTTCCTAATCAATGTTTCATGAAAAATACAATTAAATGCCTTAGATAGGTCACAGAAAACACCTAACGCATCATGTGAATCCTCCCAGGCATTAAAAATTTCTTGTATTAACTCGACACCGGCTTCGGTTGTCGAGCGACCCCTTGTAAAACCAAATTGTTGTCGATTCATAAGCTTATTCTTGTAAAAGTACGTTTGTATTTGATCCAGCATGATTTTTTCAAAAATCTTACTAAACGTAGGTAGCACGGATATAGGTTTAAAGTTAGTAGGGTCAGATGTGCTACCCGATTTATGTAAAGGAATAATTTTACTATATTTCATGAGCTCAGGAAAAATACCACAATCAGTACATTCATTAAATATATAAGCTAAGATTGGAGCTATTGTCTCAATCAGCAGTTTTCGTTTTCTTTAGCTGATTAAAAGATTTTATTATATCTTTAAAATCAATGTGTTAAAACTTAAATTGGCTATTAGAATTATTTAAACTTGCCTTTAAAATAGATTCAGAAACAGTGGAAGAGGTATGAATGGATATATGAGTAATTGATAAAAAACAACCCGGAATTATGCAACGTTGGGCATAATTGCATTTATAAATGAATAATTAAAAAAAATAAATAAACAAATTGAAGACACTAAACACTAAATAAATAAATATTCGTTGAGTTCATTTGTTGAATGAAAAAAGTATTCACTAGCGCCAACAGATGGCGTTAGTGCATATACTCCTGCTGACAGAATGCCCCTTCCCCTGCAGAGCAAGCATAGTTCACTTATACGCCAATAGATGGCGTTAGTGCATATACTCCTGCTCACATAATGACCCCCCTGTAGAACGAAAACATAGACGTATCCACGTCAAAAAGTATAAAATAACTTAATACAAGCGTAGTAAAACGTGTCACTCCTGCTCCTGACCCATACATCCTAGCGAGTGTATGTATAGCAAGTAACTTGGGTTTGCTACCACGTTATAATGGTGCGACTTACCACACCATTTATTTTGTCCAAGAATTACGCATCCAAATTTTTTATCTTTGATCTTTGACGTAATTTGAAATTTTGCGCAATGCGATATGCTCTTTCTGAATGTCAACTCGTAGCAAATCCTTCCGGCTACAACACAATATTAATTGAAAATTAATAAAATATTTTTAGTATGTAAATTTAAAATCTATGCTCTTTTATATCTCTTTTATAACAGAGTTGTATTTATGAAGGGTTTGTGTATAAATTCGCATCGTATGTTCTAGATAAACGCAAGAAAGGGGTATGCAATTATTCTACTACTTATAATATTTTTTAGAAATTCATACTAACTGTTTTTATATATTTTGCATTTATGTGAGTCAACGTTACGACTCACTCAATTAAATTTGTATGTGTGAGTAAACTAATAACAACTTAAATATATATAAATATTCAAACCATATCAAGAAAGGTTGAATAGATAACGGGAGACGTAATCATTACCTTTAAAATGATACTCACTTTAAAGGCGGTTCTTACGTCCATAAAAATTCTATTTAACTGAAATCTAAATTTTTATAAATCTATTATGAACCCTTTTTATTAAAAATCGTGGTTGACCGTATATAAATATATATATACCCGTCTATCAGGTGGTACAGGTAGAAGCTAACTTATTCCTTTCTGATTAATTATAAAAGGTATATTGAATATAAACATATGGTGGGATACTATTTAAAATGTGCAGTAATGAAATTTAATGTATATAAAATAAAACATCCAAATCGTTCATTCAGTTTAGGCTGTTACAAACTACGGCTGGAGACCTTGCACTGAGAAGAACCGGCAAGAAAATAAAGTACAGTAAGGGCTGTTTTTTTTTTAAAGTCATGGCCAAAGACATGTACAATAAAAATGCTACTTGTACAGTATAGCGTGGAGTAAAAATCGTGATCGAGCACGTACTGAATGGAGGGTTAGCAAAATTGGGTCACAGTGGAAACGTGCAGTTTTTTGGTACCTAATGAACGTTGTTGATGTAGCTCGGTGGCGTAGTGGATAAGCGCCGTGGCCCGCGATCGTAGTCTTTAAGCAACTTTCGCAAGGGTCGGTCACGGGATGGGTGACCAAAAAATTATTATCTTGAGCTACTCCGTGCTTCGGAAGGCACGTTAAGCCGTTGGTCCCGGCTGCATTTGCAGTCGTTAATACCCTCCAATCCGCATTGGGCCAGCGTGGAGGGTCATGGCCCATCCTCCTTAACCATCCATAAGGAAGGCCTGAGCCCCTGCAGTGGGGACGTAAAAGGGCTGGTGATGAAATGTGATGATGAATGTTGTTACTTATTCGTGGTACCACTGTGAGACTGAAATATATGAAACAAAAAACCTTTATTGCAAAATGTCTTGGTAGAAGATATTTCGCACCCATAGGACTATAATACTAGAATTATAGACCTAAATATAATAAATACAGTATATTAAACCAAGTGGGTTCAAGACTTTTTGTACCTGAGAAAAAAAAACAAACTTACTACTACGAGGGTGACACTGAAAGTTTTTAGAACTGGCTACTTTTAACAGTTTAAGTATATTAAAAAATGTTTAAATTTTGAACACTTTGCTAATATTACTGAGATTATTGAGTAGAGAGTGACTATCATAGATTATTGAGTATTCATTAATTTGCCATTTGTTTTAGATTTTGGCGACAAATTGTAAATTGCCTGTTTCAAAGTGAATAGAAATAGCTTTGTTTGGAAGTTTTCTCAGTGGTTCCATTGGATGCAGCGTGATATTAATTTAAATGGACAATATTTTTAAAAGACAAAATATTTCTTAATGATAAATGCTTAAAAAATCCACTTTGCCCCTGGCACTCTGAGATGAGACCAGAACCCATGACCTTTCGGGTGACTGCCCTAAAGCACAAGCACTTACTTTTTACGCTACTACAGAGCGGATTGCTATCAATGTTCAGGCAATCCACCTAATATATTTTTACAAATATTTAAGCTTTCGATAAGATGTTCGAACTATATTATATTTGATCAACTTTGCTTGGGACAAAATGGATTTTTCAAGCATATTTTTAAAAACCTAGTTGATAAAGATCAAAAGAAAATTCATTAATTTTATTTAATCACGCTATTACCTACATACCCTACTAAATTAAAAAAGGTGAAATATCTATATAGCTCACATAACAGTTATGTGATATTTTATTTTTTCAGGAGGTGCTTTTAAATATTTTTTATTGGTCAGTATATCTTTTTTTTGAGATGCACATGTTTAGCAGTGAAACGTAAAACATGTATTATATTTTCTTAAATAAAAAAAAAAATGGATACGTGGTCATTTATGCATATTCTTTGATAAAGTAGATAATCATTTTGACGAGGTGAGGCATAATTACTAAAATAGATTCGCGTGCTAAGTATTTTACAATACTAGACGACACCTATGCCACATTTCAAAATATTTGATCCATCTAGCATATTTGAAAAATCACACGATTTTCGACCCTACACTTTAGATTCAATTTTATGTATACTTAATTATCGAATTTAACACTATGAAGTAAGATTTTATAAACAAATGCAAATCTACTAGAACATAGTGGAATAAATGCTTCAAATATTGCGTATAACTTTAAGAACCAATTTATATTCCTGGTACATTAATAGAGTTCCCAATTAAGTAGCGGCACGGCATCTAGTCTAAACAATTACTACGACTAGGTAGATTAGGTATTAGGATCGAGTGTTAGGTAATAATACTAGAAATAGTAGTATATTCTAACAACATAGTTTTGTTATCAGCAGTTAGTACTTTTGTCATACAAAAGTCATTTTTTATTTTTGTGATGAAGTACTAAACTATTTTCTACGGTAATATCATGGCTAGATTAAGATCACTTATATTCTGATATATATATATTTATTTGGAAAGGATATATATATTTGGAATTGGAATATATATATTTGGAAAGCTTTCTTTAATAGATTAATATACAGTGTAGTTGACATTTCCTTTTTTCCCTGTCATCTCCAATAGCATTTACGTGACAAACCCGTAGGAACGAGAGGTACGAAATAAAAATAAACTTAGGAAAAAAGTATTTTCAGTTTTTGCTGCCTGTAGAGGTAGTCATCACAAGATTGCAATTCGACGGATTTTGTAAATTGAAAATAAGTATTTATGAGTAGTATTTAAATATTTTCTTAGCGACTTATATAAAGTCCATCTTTAGGGCTTAAGTTCAAAAATTACTCAATGGATTTGGATTAAACTTGGCACGGTAATAGTTTGAAACCTTATAAATTATAGGTAGATAGATGTAATTAAATGCAACAGACAACATAACCGATCAATGACGACACAGATAAAAACGCAGATGATATTTCCTTACTGATATATATCACAGCATCAGAATGTGTATGCTTAAAAATTTCAAAAGATATTTTGGTTGTAGCCCGGCCTGATGAACGAGAGATTTGAACACCCTGTAGTGTTAAAAAAAATAGACACATATCACAATAGCAACCACCTAGGAAACTATTGATTAATAAAAAAATGTTAGTGTATAATTTATAGATCCGAATCATACTAGGGAAAGCATTTTCAAATGTTGAATATGAGTAACTTAATATTATGACGCTCGATCGCGCTGTAGTAGCTGGGCCCGGCTTCAACTGCAGTCCATCGATTGGCGCTGTCGACCAGTTCTTTCTATTTTATTCTGTGACGGGTTTGATGCTTAGGTAAACGAATAAAAGGCTGACTAAGCTTGAAAACTTGATTTAATTAAGGTTACAAAAAAAAAATAACAATCAAAAAGGAATATAAAACAGTTCGTATAGTTACCTAAATAAAAATAATAAAATAGTTAAATAGAACAATTACATACCTCTTTCCTGCGGGTTTGATGAGTAATTTGACTTTATTATATTTGATTGATACAAATTCGTCAGCATAACGGAAACAGGTAATCCTATTAATATTATAAATGTGAAAGTTTCTTTGTTTGGATGTTTGTCCGTCAATCACGTCGAAACTATTGAACGGATTTTGATGAAATTTGGTACACAGTTAGGGTATTAGCTGACTTAGATAATAGGATACTTTTTATCCCACTAAACATTTCCCTAGGGTCCACGCGGGCGAAGCCGCTGGCGAAAGCTAGTAATAAATAAATTTTAACACTTCTAACAATAAATTTCTATTTATTGAAATTAAATATGTATAATGTCTCCATGTCGATGAATTTTTACGAACTGACATTTATAAAGAGCATATTGAATTACTCAAAATTTCAAACTACGAAAAGTGAATAATAACAATAGATGATGTTAAAGATCAAAGACAAAAAGTTTGACAAATAAATATAATATTTGTCCACCCTTCAGCTTCATTTTTTCCTTGATCATATTAGCAGTAGGTTTTCAACAAAGCGATGACTCGGCCAATCATAATTAAACAAACTTATTCATTACTGAACATAATATCTTCATTGTTAGACTTCTATCAATAATACGTCATATTCCTTAGGGTTAAGGACGAATCTTATGTATTCATTATAAGGATGTCTAACTAAGATACACTTACTACCTATTTCAAATTGATTGTGAGCAAAAGAATAAAATTTATATACATTGTTATCAATTACTACATCTTTTATTCCTATTATAGATATTAGTTGAGCAAAATGCGAATTTCTAACAAGACCACGAAATCGGTGAGTTTCAACTGTTTTTGGACAGAGACACTATTCAAATATGCTGTAAATGAGAAATAGCATTTAATTTCTAAGGGCTAAACGTGATTTAAAAAAATATTTTTCATAGAAATAAATCATTAAGTTATTCTACAATTCATTCTGAATTCATAATTCTTTTCATTTCTTGTTGTTAAAAAAAAGAATTAAACCAATATATAAGGCAAATTGTTTGTACATTATACCTATGTAAGCGAATGATGCCGCGCTTTTACGATAATTGTAATAGTTTGGGTGTTAATTAAAAACCGATTTTGCAATACTCCGTTCTCTGTTCCTATCTACCTCATTTCCGATCGCAATGAGATACACAGATATATCCTTTTGGTTTCCTTCTTTATATCAGTAGGACAAAAATACTACTAAAATTAAAGTGTATTTTAGTGGGCAAACTTTATCAATACATAAATTCTTTGTGACCGATAGCGAATTAAAAATAAAATAAACATAATAAACTCCTTTTTTGGGCAGTCGTGTAATAAAACTTACTTCTATAAATACAGCCGGGGCCAACCACTTAACGTGCCTTCTGAAGTATGGAGTAGCTCGAGATAATAATTTTTTTGGTCACCAATCCCGTGACGAACCCTGGCGAAAGTTGCTTAACAATAACTATCGCGGGCCGTGGCCAGCGATGCTAATTGTTCTGGCGCTTTCGTTGGGGCGTTTATCCCCTAGTAAACTCTAGTACTCTAGTAAAGCTGTTATATTACCAAATCTGTAGTTAATACTAAATGTGCGATTATATTTCATGTTGAACTATTAGGTAACAATGAAACTGCCCGCTTGATATATATTTATACTTTTACCACAGAATACATTACCAACTTTTGCAGTTCGCGTTAATTTCGATTAGGTAATTCATAATAATAATGCATACCTACACATACTAAATGAAAATTGGGACTTTATTGAAATGGAACGGACTCTATAAGCTTAATAACTTTCACAAGGCACTCATTTACTATCTCAAACTCTTTCCTGCGTCGAAAAGCATATTCAGCAATTAGTCCTTATTGTACCTATTGTCCTTAACACCCACTTATTCTCACTGGGCCCACGTGGATATTAATAGGCACACGATAATGATAACAATTCAAACAGTCATATTATAGCGTAAGGCTGACATTAACTTAATTAAAATACAACATAAAAATCGATACGAACCACCTTTAATTTAGTAATACACACAATTTCTGTTAATAAGTTTTATAAAGGTCGAGTGGCATCAAAGATCTTAAGGAATTTAATTCCAATAGACGAAGAAATATAAAAAGTCGGTAAGTACCAATATTATCTGGTGCTTTCGATAAAAAATAATGGAGCTCTAACACCAAAAGTCGCTTAATTGGTAATTCTAACAGAGGCAAAGCTTCCCCTTCTCATTTCGTCAAATTCGTCGAGAGACTTAAGTGGGGAAAAAAAGAAATCACTGTGGACATAATTTATGAGATAATTGTACTGTTAAGTAAAGCTGGCCCGTATTTCATATTTTCATATTCTCACGCTTAAGACTCTTTCAATAGACAAAGGAATAGCGAAATCTAATTAATAGGTCATTCGATGTGTTAGACAATGACAGATACAAAATTTCGATAACATCACATACATTGTTCAGACTCAAAATTAAATAGTTGTGACACTGATACTATGATACTGAAACGACAAAGGCATCATAACACCGAAACAAAAGAGAAAAAAATATTTTTTACATTGACTCGACCGTGATTCCAACCCGGGAACTCAGAGATAAAGTGTAAGCTGTTCTTTTATAACCCAACAGTTTGACTGGCAGAAAATAGTTAGGGCATATCATACATACATATAAATTTTGTGCACAGTGTAAAATAAATAAAATATTATATTAATTAATGTATATCACTAAAAAATTTGGACCTATTTTCAGGAATGTTGCTCGGAAAATTGAATTGATATCGGGCAAGGGCAAGAAGTGCAGAATACTTTTGTACTTTTATTTTTTCTTAGAACTATTATTTCTTTATTAGATTTAGTGTTTTTATTTTGTTAGTAACTTTATACGATCACGAGTTAAATTAACTAATTCTTAATTCCATTATTATCATCACCAGTCTATTGATATCCCCACTGCTGAGGATCAGTCTTTCCTATAGATGGAATCAAAATATATAATTCTAAACTCAACACAAATCGTGAAGGACTTTTATTATTTTTTTCTTTAAGGCACGATTTTAAACACAGTACATAAAGAACTAACTGGATATAACCGGCTATCTCACAGCCATTCTTTCTCTCTCGCTGGCGAAGTTTTTATGGGTCAAACCTAGATCAAGTGGGATTGAACTCATTGCGGCTCGGGACGGAATGGTATTGACACTACTTATTCAAGATTGAGTTATGTAAATGCAAACGGAACGGTAATCTCTGACTTTGATTACTTCACGGCAATTTCTATTAAGTTCGATGGCGTAGCGGTGATTTGCGTTTGCGGAAGTTAAGCTACTTTCGCAAAGGCTGATTTTCGGAGGAGGAACCGAAAACAGCTTGCCTTGAATTCCTCTGGACTTTTGTAGGTATCTGGAGTCGGTGATCAAGGTTGCATCTGCAGATGCAACTCCTATCTCGTCCCCTCTAAGTTATTTAGGAATGCAAAATTTCAGCTTAATCGAAAAGCGGGGAATGAGTCTTTAGCATGGAAGATAACCCATACTAACAAACTAACTAGCACTGTATGTTAAAAGCTTTATTATTTTTTAGATTTTTATTTTTGAAAATTTGATTAGCAATCTAATCAAAGCAAAAATTTTAACATACTTTTATCAGATCTAAAGATGACAAATGTTTAGAATAACCGATTTTTGTATATTCAATATACCTACACTTTGTTTACTACATATTAAATATTTAAATGTTAATAAATACTACGATAATATTTAAGTATGATTAATTAATTACACCACCACTTTTTATTATACATTATGCCCTAGTAATAAAACAACTAATTAAAAACTTACTCTTTATATATCGACCTTATTATACCGACTACCGAGCTACGAAATAGCTGAGCTAAATATAAGTGAACTTATAGCGAGTGAAGTGAATCGGCGCAATCTGCGAAATGACTCAACCCTTGAGCGCAATTTGGGCACTATTCAGTTTCGGCTCGCATCGGAAACCGCATAAAAGGTAGCGTGCTCTATTCAATAGTGCGCTACTAAAAGACCAACCTTCACTTTTTATGTATCTTAAAATATGCCTATAAAATCGCCTGCCATAATTCGATCCATTCAGAAGATAAAAGGAAACAGATTTAGCGTAAAACCTTAGGTAAATTTGCTTGATAAATATTTTTATTTGAAAATTAAAGTACAAATTAATAAATAATAATTATAGTTAAATTGATTGAGTAGAAATATTCTCCATTAATTCTAATATATATTATAAAAGGGAAAGAGTTTATTTTTTGTTTGCATCAAATAGGCTTCGAAGCTATTGGACCGATTATTTCTTTCAACTATGGGTAGGGTACATCAGACGGGGTTGTCGTAGGCTAAAATTTATCTGTGCGAAGTCGCGAGAACATAGCTAGTTTTTAATAAATTTGATGTTTAGAAAAAAATGGATATGGACATGCATTAAATAGGTACTCAATTTGTTTATGACGCAAACGTCTTTTTTTTTAGGCAAATATCAACATAAAATATAAAATATAACGAAGGGAAGATCAAAACGTTTATATGACAACCAAAATTGAAAAATTTTTACCAGTGGACCATCGACTCCAATAATATAATATAAAACATCCGATTGTAAAAAGAAAATGATGAAAAATTAATAATTCTGAGAAGCAACGTTAAGTGCCTAAGACAGGGCGTGGAGGGTAAAGCCATCTCGTTTCTCCCAAGAGAATCGCTGGTCATTAATGTATTGCAGAACAGCTACACCATTTGTTACTGAAGTGGTCCCTAAAGAGACCACAAAGAAAAGTAAATTTCAACTTCTACCAACGTAGCGCAGTGATAAAAGTATATTAATATTAAGTAGATATACAATACAACACAAAAATTCTTTACTTGTACACACCATTGTTCACAAAATGATGTCGAAAATAATAGTATATAAGGTAGTACAAGGGCGGCCTTATTGCTTAAAGCAATTTCTTCCAGACAACCTTTGGATGGACAGTGGTATATGAAAACAGATATATGGTGGCTTAAATTTACTAATAGAAGAAACAATTAAGGTGGGTAAGGGGCAACCAATTCAGTTCTCGATAAATAGATACATGATCGTATTTAGAGATATAGGAATATGAAAGATAAAAAATATTTGATATTCCCACAATAACCTGTTTCCTTTGATGTGTCACACAATATAGTTTACTATATTTGTTTAATTTACCCCGAAAAACATCTTCCGTATTTAAAAATTTATTTATTTACGTGGCCGCCTGCCTCTGGGCCATGTTTTACATATAAATACTAAACAGACGGACAGAAAACTGAGTGATATTATAAGGATTATGTGGTGTGGATTGGAACACTAAAAGAAGAATGGCCAGAGCCATTTTTATATGTGGTAAATATTCTTAATAAAAAATACTTAAAAAATCCGCTTTATACCTAGGTATACTAAGAGACGCAGCATAGGTATACTAACAGTCGTAAGATGGGAGTCGAACCCATAACCTTTCGTAATCCGGGCGACTGCTCTAACCAATAAGCTACCTAAGACCTTTTCATTATGAATATTATTCAGTACAGCATTGTGAATGCAAAATTCATCAAATATAATAGTCGTAAATACCTATATTTTATTAAACAAATGATACGTAAACAGATAATTGCTTAAATTAATATTGATAACATCTTCGGTAACAAGCAAATGACCAGATTCGAAGAAAATTGTTTCGCAATTTTTTAGGACCCTAGGGGTAAGACTGGGCCATCTCACTGAGCACCGCTGTCTTTTCTTCTGTTTGACCGGCCGTCTGTCACTAGAAAATATGTCATGAAAATGACAGATTTTATGATATAAGAAGAAATGAAGAAACAAAAGACAGAATAAAATAAACATTTAAATGGGTTCCCATACAATAAAGAAGTATTTTTTAGCACTAGAAGAGTCGACTTCTGGGTTTTCTCGGGTGGTTTTTAGTCATCTTTCAAGTTTTTATTAGATCCCTGGTCTTTTATATTTATCAAATTTAGATTTTTTATTTAAACTCAATTCTATTCTCTATTTCAATCTTATAATTATACTATATTCTGATTAATAAGATACTATGGTAACAACAAAATGAAGCTCCATAAGAATTCTACTAAATTCTCGGTCAGCAGGGATAAATCTGATTCATGAAGACATGTTCTCACAACGTTCCGAACATAGTCTTACAACGTTGATTTATTTTCGTCCACTATATCGACGAACGTGCTCCTTTTAATTAAATATTGTAACTTTTAATTAGTAGTGACTTACCGCTCGGTCGGCCAGGTTGCGTACTCTGCAATGTAAATACGCAGGTTGGCCCACGGCGGCTGTGGCCTCACGCTTCGTGCTATTATCGAAGTACGGCTGGCCCAGAGGTTCCCAGCCTCCGCCGCCGGCTGACACACCTATAACAATTAACATAAATATTTTCATTTAATAATATTCTCTTTGTTTTAGTCATATTTCAAATGTAACTTTATTATAATTGATTGTTTCTTTCTTTGTAATATTAAACGAAATTTTGCAAAAAATCTGCCAATTACTAGTCAATCTAGTCAATCTAGTCAATTTTGTACCATAAATCCGTCAAAAGTAATAAATAAGTTTCGGAAATCTATATTTTGACTAATTTTCTAAATACTAATTAATCTAGACATTACAGTAATACTGTTTTTTTTTCTATAGACAACAATTTCGTAGGCATATACCAAATATTCATACTATGCGATCTACATATAAGACTTATATGAACACGAGATTCAGAAGGATAAATGTATTATTTACGACTGAGATAAAGTATTACGTACATCTATAAAAGCTTCGACTATCACTGGCTGTCAGGTGGAATTAGGAAACACAGACGTATGAAGGTGGAGGCCTCTGAAGGTCTTATTAAAGTGGTCGAGGAAAAAACAGGATAATTTTTCCTTCACCGTGTCGTATACCCTCGGTGACGATACTGTAGATTAAGTCGAATATTATAAACGTTTTCTATTAATAAAATGGTGAATTAAATAGGTCTCCAGAATTATCGCGGCAATCATAAGTGATTTTGTTCTCGAAAACAATATCTTTATTTATCCACATCGACCTATTAAGATCACGTTATATCACATTTAGAGGGAGTGTGCAATTACACTTGGGCCCAGCGACAAACAGTTGGTGTTGATAAGCCCAGCTGGAATGGGAAGTAAAATTTTTATACGTACAGAAAACAAAAAAAAAGGTCACTTATCATGAACGAATGGCTTTTGAACATTGCTTTGCTTAACCGTACCGTCTAGGTATGTCATTAAATAGAAGTGAGAAAGTTGTTATTTTCAATAAATTTTACATTTGTAATGCTATTTGTAATTACCCAACTTTTTCTGAAATATACGCTCACGAGTAATTTAATTAACGATAAATTAATATTTTCGAATTTATGCCGTCTTTCAGATAGAGAGAGGTCTGAAAATATAAGAAAGAGAACAGAGATGTTTAACTATAATATCAAAAGAACAATAAATTTTTCAATTTGGGTCATTTATAAATAAACTGTTGTATCTCTTACTAAAATAGCTTTAGTTTGGTAGATCCCGCTCTAGTTCCGAATAACAGATGATTTTACAGAAATTCTATTTTAATTTGATTAGTGGAGTGCTGTTAAGTTTATTCCTTGGAATCCGGACAGCTTTTAGTAAAAAGTTTTGGAACGTGTTTCACCCATTTGTATTTGTAAATCTTACAGTTACATTATCATAAAAAAAAACTATCGGAGTTCTCATTCATAATCTATTGCAAACTCGATTTTTACAGAAACTACAGAATAATCATATTCTAAAAAGGGTTTCCGTATTATAACTTACTGAAAATTATATTAGAAGTATTCTTTTTTTAAATAAACTTATTGAAAACATTTTGGCATCGACCATATTTTTTTATGTAACATCAACGCAGGATGTAGTTTAAATATATATAAATATGATGCCAGACTTTTTACGGTATTGTTTTTGCTATACATCATGGAATCGCATTAAGTAACAATTACGACTTTGGCGCCTTGGAAAAATTTGTACATTTGCTTAATTAAATGTGCGATGACATGTTATTCAGCAATTATTGTGTGTATGAAAGTGCCTAATGTATTTAAAGAAATTATGGTTACTACATTTAGGCAAACATTTCTCTTTCAAAGAGTTGTTGTCAGTTGTTTGGTAACTTTACTGTCGAAAATTAAATGATGAAAATCGAGAAGAATTTCTTAATGTTCTCATTTATATTGCTGTTTTCGTAGCCATCAACACATTTTTTTTACAGTTACAAGGCCATCTCCGCGAAAAGTTCTCGATTTTGCCCGATATTATCCGAAAGCTGCTTCCATAAGCCAGATCCTTTTCAACGATAAAAACGTGCTTTGTTTTCCATCACGTTCCGTTATTTTTTATTCTCCCCCTTTTTTTAGCATTAACCGAGATATTTTGTAAATATTTCATTATGTAGTCAGCCTATTGAAAGGGGAATTTCTGTTGTTACTGAGATAAAAGGGGTTACGTTTTGAATTGGGAACCAAATTGCGTTTAGGTCATGACTGTCTTTTTTATTGTTTATCTGAAAGCAAACAATGTGCTGTTACCGTGAATAACACGCAAGCAATAACACGCATTGTGTTATGAACCTCTTTTTTATACATTTGTATCATAACTGTATTATATTGGAAAGGTACAGTCCATATTCCATGTTGACGAAGGAGATTTTATTTAGATAAAAAAAGATTAATTGTGAATTTTTTTTTTTGTAAATTGGTATCTGTAATGTAACCTGATATTTTGAAAAATAAGTATCATTTATTTTCACGCGGAATAAGTATTCATTCAGACACTTCCAATATGAATATTTAACGATGTAGTATTATTATGTGGTGAAACAAACAATGTAAGAGCTATTATTAAATACGTTCAAACATATCATTTACTAATATGAAGTGAGGCCGTTTTTGATAGCCATTTTTACAAAATTAAATTCACATCTAAGGTGTGCGCAAATTTGGCGGAAGATCCACCAAGCGTCTCACGGTTGTATGCGGCGGATCATTGGTCGAGTGCGCAAGGTTGAATGCCAAATGACTTATTTGTCTGTTCTATTTCTAACGTTCCACAATCGAAGATACGTGAACGTATGCACCGATCTTTAAATTGGTCATTTTTTGGTCCTTGCATTATCCTCGCGTCGCATTCCCATGCTGAATTATTATCTTTTCGACTATTCTTTCCCTTGCATTGGTCTATGCCCTTGCGTAAAGATCATGCAACCGGCAGTCGTATTTTTGACGATCTGAGCAAATCGACAAATCAGGAGACCTTACGTAATTTTTTTTAATCTCATTATGTTTAGTACAATTCTTTTTTTTTTCATACAGTAAATACATAGAACTGCTTAGGAGTTTGGTGCAATGTGGTCATGTTGTGGCAATAATGCTCTACGACGACATGTGATCGTAGGACTCATAACAAGTAAGCTAGCTATCGGCGGCTCATAAGAAGTAAGAATTATAATTAATTATTGACTAAAAAGCACTTTATATCTAGAAACAAAATCATATTTCATTCAGTATCATTCGTAGGTACTATATTATTGTTGTATTGCGCTGTAGGTGTAGTCGTAATTGTATTGCAAGCTTCTAGTAATATGTATAATTGTGTCCATAAATAAACAATAAAATAGTCATAAAAGTAAAATTACAGTTTTCTAATTGGGGTGTTTAAGAATGTGCGTTATTTCTGTTAAATGTTGTATAATATTATAAATTGTTTGTAAAATACATGTAGTATTATTATTTATTTCAATTGCTGAAACAAATAAAACTTAAATCAGTCTGTAAGAACTTTACAAAATCGTTACAAGAAAAGAGTTGAGTTTAAGAGTTTCACTGTGTGAGTGTGAGTTAAATTGTTTTAAATAAATCACAATTATTGAGTTTGCTTAATAGAGCGTGTTTCGTTACGTTACAAAGTTTGTTGAGTTCAGAGTTGCCGTTAGAGTTTACTGAGTTTACAGAGGCGAGTTTTCATCTCGTTACACGTTAGATGACAACTGTTAGTGTCTTAATAAATATCTGACAGAGCGTGACACAGAACAAAGAAAGACGGTAGAAGGACCTTGTGGGCGTGGCAGTGTAGCCACGATCCCGAACAAATGTACAGGATCGTGACTTCACCATGCGATCGCGATGTTTAGTCATTCACGAACTGTAAGTACTGTGAAACCCGCCACTAAAAGTGTTAAAAATGCCGACTTGCGCAGTTATTCATTACAAAACAAGAAGCCCATCCTCAAGTAGGTCCAAAGGAAGGATTTCTTTCCATTAGTAAGTAGAACATTCCTCAAATTTAGTATTTTTAATCGAAATTCGTGAAATGTTATCAAAAGTATGAATCACAAAAATATGAGAAGTACGCATATTTATTACATTGCGTCGTATTAAGCACGTAATGTAAAGAACATCGCGAAATCACCGTTTTAAATACGAGTAGTAACATAATAGATACGGTAGATGGCTAGTGAAGTACCTGGAAACATTTAATCGATTCTTGGTGTGTTAGTCAGTAAAAACTAAATAAAAGTATGCACGATAAAAAAATGTGGTAATAAAAGATAAATTTAATCAGAGATTAACAATAGCAATAAATAAAATGTAACCCTAATCTTGACTACCATATTGACTTCGTTTGGTATGCGTTTGAAATGAATGTTTTTATATTCTTAATATTGTAAAAGTTTTTTTTTTTTTAATTTTGAACCCTTAACAACAACACTTTTAAAATCATCGGAATAAGTTCCAATAGCATTTATTGTATTTATTGTTTTTTTTTATTTTTTATTTTGTATACATTTATTTACATTATATTGTTTGTCAACATTACTAGTTTCATTTAAGCGATGTTGCCGATCTTATATATATACGTGATACGAAATCGAGTAACGTAACGTAAAAAAATACCTACTATTATTATTTATAAACAAACATACTTATATGCAAATAAATATTTATGTACCACACTAGTACCGATTCAATGTTAGTTAATGATTAGGAAATGATTTAATATTTCTTACTGAATCAAACAACTAATTAACAATTAATATCTAAAGAAAAAAGATAATGTCACATTTAATCAATACAATTCAACGTATATCCAAAATAATATAAAGAAATCATTACTCCAGTATCCTTTCAATTAATTGTCTTTTTGTTTTTCAATATCGATAGTAAATAACTTTATGTCAATCACTAGTGTAATATAGGCAGTCCTCGTACTTACGGCATGTTACGTTCTCGAAATATGCGACGTAAAGCGAAACGACGTAAGTCAAGACAATTTTTCATATGTTTACATGTAAAACTCAAGGGTTAGGTTTACACAGACTCAAAATAAACAAAAAACTACATTTATAACAAAGAATTGTACGTACTTTATTATTAAAAGTAAGTAATTCAACTTAAAATAATTATAAATGTACTTATGAAAATGCTAGTTATTTTTGGTATTTCAATAATAATAATAATAAAACTTTAATAATCAAATTATGCAATGAGAAATAATAAATTACACTTTTGGCTTAAATAAACTTCGCTGCTCTTCTTTCTTTTTTGCTATCATACAGGTCTTGGTAACACTGACAGGTTGCATAAATTTTGTTATTAATTTTAAACCCCACGGACATTGACCTCGCAACATGAATTGTCCTATGCCGGAAATCGAAACAATTGATGTATGCTTGACGAGCAGTGTCAAAACATTGTTTGACGTAACTTGAAACGACGTAAGTCGAGGACTGCCTGTATGTCAAATTAAAATGGCTATTACACGTTTATTACGCACTCTAGATGTCTGTTAAGGTTGAGCGTGATTGTTTATAGTTATATTGGAGCATTCTGATTGGCATGTTTAAAATGCAAGTGTGTGCATATCTTTTGTATAATTGGTCTGATATTTCGTCTGATGTATGGCGGACGAAAAGTTGGGCAAGAGTGGCGATATCGGTTTTTGCACAAAGGACGCGTGATCGCCTTGTTAGTTATCAAGGTTGGCTGAGGAATAAGGATTGCATCCTGCAGTACAATTCTGTTTAAGTCAAATTAAACCTACTTTAAAAAGTTGTAAGAATTTTATTAGATTGAACTTCTAAAGCTACTACACTATGTTTCGAAAAGAAAAGGCAGGTGATATCTTCAAATGTAGGATGATGCCACTAACTCTAAAGCGTTTGCTATGCTAACTCTACTTGCATTTGAAATGCATATCGCTTTAGATAT